AGCTGGTGAGCTCTCAGAAAAAAATGAGGTCTGAGCTGTCGCCCTACGTGTACTCCCAGAGTTGTTCCTGGGTGGCAGTCACTGGATCAGGTACTGGCAACACAAGGAAAAACCAAGACGGGCGGCCTGGCCTGTCAGCTCACCTTCTGACTGGGGACACAGGCACAGACCCAATAATCATGTGGCAGAGGGGCTGTCATGACACTGTCAGGTGAGGTGCAAGGAAGGTGCCAGTGAGTTCTGTGGAGCAGGGGAGCTGGTGAGGCTCCATGCACTCCCTGTGCACTCCTCCCTGGCTTCCTGGGACCACCCCCCAAACAACTGCATTCCCTGAATCAGCTTCTGCTTCTAGGGAGCCCACATAAGCCAGCAGTGGTTTGGATCCCTTTGCATTTGTTGTTTATGCCTAGGTGGGGTTATTATCTCAAAAAAAGTCCAGCTTTCAAAGCTTTTATCTCTCAAAGATAAAAAAAAATAACTGCCCTGGCAACATCGGATTAAGCTGGTGGGAGAGGTCCAGATAGGCAGGGCCTGTAGCTCCAGGCCCCTCCCACCGCTCTGTGGGGCAGGTCACCCCTGTCCCCACAGGCTTTGGGGCCCTGAACCGTGTGTTCCGCCCTCTGCACGCCCCGCCTGTTCTCACTTTCCTCCCCCTCAGCAGAAGCCTTCCAGCCCCTCTTCTGGGCTCCTTTGGCCACCTGCTGCCCATGGGGAGGACAGGACTGCAGACAGGCCCTCCCCAACCCCCACGTCTCGTTCACCACACCCCAGACTTCAGGGTCTGCTCCCCAGTCCATATCAAAGGTGTATTAACCACAGCAATTTCTACAGCAGTGAGTAGCGTAATGCTGCTCTCCCTGCAACAAAATTGCACTGGAGACTGTTCTCTCGCTTAAAAATTAGGGAGCCTGGGTCTCCCAGGGGTTAAGTCTCAGCTTCATCAAGCTATCCACCTCCTGAGTTCAATCCCAGGCCAGAAAACTAACCCACACGGAAGAGCAGACCTCTCTTATCTTGCCTGCTGCTCCCCTCAGCAGTGTTTTCAGTAGCTCTGTTAAGCTCCCCACTTTTTCTCTGGTGAATCACCTCCCACATTTCTAGCACAGACCCCAGTTCTTGTAGGTATAAATAAATCTTTAAAAAAAATTAGGAAGCCTAAGAGTTTTAAGCAAGAGAATTAAAGTCAATGTAATACATGGAATTTTGTTTCCAAGGAAGCAATATTGTACTCTAGGTAAATGCAGTGAAGACTTGGACCATCTGTCATTTTTCCAACATACACCCCTCCCCAGCACCTGCAAGAAAGAAAAATGTATTTGTTTCCTAAATGAAGTGAAGGGGAAAGCCATCCTTACCCAGGGAGGCCACATTCCTGCAGGTCTCCAGCATCACATCTCTGGAGAGACGCCTCTGAGTACAAGTCAACAAAACCTGCCCTTTTGGGATGAAGTTTAGCCACATCGGTTAAAAGAAAAAAAAAAAACGAGTCCTGGAATACCCCCCAGTCTACCTCAGCAACAAACCGTGTTTACCAGGGTGCTGGGGGTAGAGTGGGGGAGGCAGCAGCAGGAAAATGGACCCAGCTCTGTGACTGCTCGGTCCCACACACCTGTGGACAATACGCACGTGAGCCAGGCCCAGTTTACTCAGCACTGGCAGCTGCCAGGAATCTTTAAGCAGAGATAAAACAATCTTACGTACAGAAGGGCGTAAGTAAAATTTTCATTGAGGCAGCAGATTCTAAGAGGAGAAAGGCTGAAAAATGAACTCCTCTCTCAGAGCTGAGGTAGATTTATACTTTACTTTCTCAGTCATTATTTTCTTGTCATCACTAGGAACCAGAAAGCAAGTGTTAGACGATTTGATTTCCAGAACTGCCCAATCTAAACAATGCTGCAGGGGGCAGCAGGGCCACCGAGCCTGATCTAGCTCCTGTTTCCAGCAGAGGAAAAGGCACAAGCCATTTCCAAGAGAAGGTACACCGTGGAGACCAGAGCTTGGGCCCGGCAGCCGTGTTGGGTAAGGGGAGCGCCCAGCTCCGAAGAATCTATCAAATCAGTAGGATCACTCAAATAAGTAAATAACCACACCCAAAATTTGAGGGAAATGGTACCAGAAAGAAGAGTCACTGAGAGATGAGAAAGTGATCAAGACAAAGGCAACTGGAACAGAGAGGAAAAAAACACCTAATTGTTATCTTTAGCCCAGTGTGTTGAGACAGACACCACGCCCGCGAAATAAAGAGCAAACAATTATGGCAAATAATGTCAAAGATTGTTTAAACCAAAAAAAAAAAGAAGTTTTCAAAATCTAAAGAAAAATAATGCCAACTATGTCAGCTGCAAAAAGCACAATGCTGTTTCAAGTAGGCTGCCACTGGGTTTGACAAGCATGCACCTGAGAGAGATTTGTAATCTAAATACATCTTTGTAGGTTTAATTATGAAATGAGAACTAGAACTAATGAAATACAACACAATAAAGACAAGTAATACAACCAAATAATGGAGAAAAAGCTGAACAAACATTTCTCTACAGATATGCAAATAGCCAATAAAGCCATAAAAGACGTTCAACATTTTGCCTATTTTGGATTCATGTACAAAATCCCACAGCAGAATGACACTTGCCAACCCATTCTATGAAGCCAGTATTAGCCGTGTCAAAACCAGACATACAAGTAAGTAAAACTGCAGGCCAATATACATTATATAGACAAAAATAGCCCCCAACAAGAGTGATGCCAATATCACAGCCATAAGCTGCTTCCTTTATCTCTACCTTTATTAGACAGAAAATAAACTATAAATCAACAAGAGTTCTGCTTTTCACACCAAGATGCTAGAGATCCACGCATCCATGATCAGAGTTGGTAGGTTGGGTCTCACGTAGGTGGCATAGCCAGAGAACAGAGACCATGAGGCTGCCACCCAGATGCAAAGCCCCAGCAAGAGGAGGGCAGTGATAGCAAAAACAGACACCCACATCCGCAGACCAATTGACACCAAGGCCATGGTGATAAAATGCAGCTCACTGGGCAGGACCCTGGGGTGGAGGGTGGCAGAGGAAGAAAAACACACAACTCTTAAGTGCCTCCTCCCTCTCCCAGCACCCCAGAGACTGCCCACAGCCAAAACTCAGGCTTGGGACTCCAAAGAAACAGGCAGTAGCACTGCCCCTGAAGCCAGGCCCGCCTCCCCAGACCCACATCCCCAGTGGCAGACTGACACCCTCCTTACACACCCTCTCCCCACCAACACAGCAGCCTCACCCCAGCACTGTGGCTACACCCATCACCCCTGGGTCACTAGCAGTGGTGCACACAGCCCCTGCAAGAGGCGCAGCAGCCAAAAACCAAAGCTATACTGCCACCTACTGGGACAAAGGAGAAAAACATCTAATTACTAAATTTCATATTCGAATTTAGCAAACAAAACTTTAAAAATTTTTTGAAGGATCTCAGATAGACCAAATTTATAGACGGAGGAATATACCATCAAGGAACACAAAATTTCAATGTAATATGTTATCATAAAGAATGCCAGTTTTCCAGAAGCCAAATTTAATGACAGCAATTATTGATTTCAAGGATAGAAACAAACTCATGAGTCATGAAACAAACTCAAGAGTTGCAGGAAAAATTCAGAAAGGCAATAAATAAGCTTAGGGATAACATTCATAGATAAGGAGTACTTCCATTATTTTTTTTCAACAGAACATTTCTGGGGTTAATATTTTTATTTTTGCATAGACAAATTGGAGTGCAGGCCAGAGGTTTGAGGGGAAGGGATGATTCACCAGAGACAGAGTTGGGGGGCAGAATGGGCTGATTGCTGGTACACTGCTGAGGGGAGCAGCGGGCGAGACAGGAGAGGTCTGCAGCACCAGGTGGGTCAGCTCCCTGGCTGGGGATGGAACTTTGGCCAAAGGGGTAACAGTGCTGAAACGGACGCTCTAGGCACAGGGCCCTTTTATTCTCTTGTCGTGTTTTAGAATGTTAATTTTCCAGGGTAGCTTAAGAGATCAAGAATATGAGGTGAGAACTTTTCACCTTGCAAATCTTAAAACTGCCAATTAGGCAATTCTCTTTCTGCCTCCCTTCAGCCCTATTTTACTTTGTTTCTGCGATCTAATTTGTTCCCTCACCAACATCACCTGTGTCCCCTTGTCTCTCCCCCTCCCCATCTCTTCTTAACCACAGAACTCCAGGATGTTTGCTGTCCTCTTTTCAAAGTGTTTTACATTGCCGAGTTGTCAGCTATTTAATGCCCAACATTTGTTTTTATCTGAATCGCCTTGCTGCACAGAACTCTGTTTCCCTCACTTTGCTGAAAATGGCTGCATTTCACCCCTTCTTGTGGTTAGGTGGTAAATACTGTAGGTGTGTCTGGTAAAATGTGTATGCAGCAGTTTTGGGATGAAGTGTTCTGTAGTTGTCTATTACATTTTTTTGGTCTAATGCCTCACTTAAAGCTGTTTCAGGCTCAGTAAGGTGGTTTGGGGGGCACACAACTCTGTGTAGTGGACTGGGGCCAAGTCAAAGTCCTCTGGCTCCAAATATTCTGAGAGCAATTTCCGGATTTTTCTTTCGTACCACAGAATGACGTTACCTTGGTAGTGAATGGGCCATAAAATGACTACCAGAATCTACTAGTACGCAAGACATCTTCCAACACTCCAGATGCTGTCAGCCGTGAAGTCAAAAAATGAACTGAGAACTAAAAAACAGGTCCACTGGGAAATCCTCTGGTAAAATCTGAGAGCAAGTGAAGAGACAGACAACTGTCTGCCATCAAAATGCTATAAGATCCAAACCAGATTTACCCAAGAGAATGGTTCCACCGTCCCCTCCCTCTGTCCTTGATTCCAAGGGCCCAGGGGAGAAAGCCAAGCGTATGACAGCATATGCAGCAGGAATTGTGCTGGGAAACACGAACAGTGAGGAAGCCTCAGAAATACTAACCAAGGCAAAGATAGAAAGGTAGAAAGACAAAGACCACATTTGTGCAGATAAATTTAATGACTGTTGAAGCTGTTGGGGTAGCAGCGAAGGGCTGCGGGTTGGCAGCTCGTCTCCGAAGCTTCACGTCCCCTTTCGCTAGGAACCAGTCATCTCACTTCCTGTTGGAAGTACTGCATGTCAACCCTGCGGCCGTCCTCTCTGGTCAGCAATATGCTAGAGAGTTCTTCAAAGTGGTCTTGCAGAGAACATGCCCTTTTAGTGTCTGAGAGCTGGCAGAGGTGATCTGGAAAAAACCAATAAGAAGGCGAGGTAACCAGGTGCACTTCAGAGACTTAATGCGCAGCCTCTAGAGTGAAGCCAGCAAATGGGACCAGGATCACATGGAGAGGAGCCAGCGGAGACTGCATGTGAGGCCCCAAGCCTGCAGGAGAGACAAGAAGCCCAAAACAGTCAGTCCCCAATAGCACGCTTCCCTCTCCACTTGGGAGACAGCTGCCCCACCCCTCCTCCTCAGTGCCAACTATAAAGTTTAAGTGTGAGCTGCCCATCACAGATCCTGCCGTCCTAACCCAGGGGTAACCTATGTTCCACGCCGGGCCAGTAAGATCCTTCCATACAGTATTCACAGCCACAGTTGGGGGAGAAAGCCTTTCTCATACATTTGAGAACTGAAAGCATATGACCACGGAGTAACCAGTGGTCTTGTTTCTGTCCATGAGAACAATCAGCCCATCACTACGTACTTATAATATATTATGACCTAGGAACTGTCCTAGGAGCTGGAGGCTTTGAGATGAACAAAGCAGTTATTTTCCCTGCCCTCAGAGATGCTTTCAGAGGATGACCAAAAGGTATGCAAACAAGCAAAGATGATTTTGGGCACAGAAAAATGCTAGGAGGTAGAGTGAGCTAATGTAGTAAATAGTGCTAAGAGCCCAGTGGAGGAAGCTGCTTTAGCACGGCAGGGGCTAGAGAAAAGGCCTCTCTGAGGTAACACTGGAGAGAGAACCTGATGGTTAAGGGCATCCAAAGAGACCAAGCGTTTCCCAGGCAACACAGCATGTACAGAGTCTGATACTAGAACATGGCCTCAGGTGCAAAATGGAGCCCACCTAAATAGGAGAGAATAGAAGAGTGGAGGAGACGTGGATTGCAACGGTAGCTGGGACAGACCAACGGCCTGGTCACATAGTTTCATGCTGGCTCCAAATGAGCCCTGAAGAGCTTTGCAGGAGTCAGTGACCCAATGTAGAAAGGTCACGCCGATTGCTGTCGGGCAGACAGACTGAGTTGGGCAGGACGCAGGCACATAAAGTCTTTGGGGGGAGTGTAAAACTGCACAATCACACTGGCTGTTTCCACTAAATGCACCCAACGACCAGCAACCCCAAGCCACATACCCAACAGAAATGACTATGTATTTGTGCACTAAAACTCATGTACAGGAACGTTCACTTTGTACCAGCTCCAAACTGGAAACAAGCAAAATGGCGACCAGCAGTACAACGCATAAATACACTGTGGTCTATTTTCATAATATGAATAGCTAACTCTATCACAGAGAAACTAGATTTGAGGGGGAAAAGACAGATAACAAGAATACATACTGCATGATCCAATCATATAGCAATCAAAAACAGGCAAACCTGAGCTATCCTTTTAGAAATCAGGATACAGGAAAGGGAAGTAACTAGTAGGAAAATGAGGGGAGGGTTCCTTGGGAACTGAAAACATGTCATTTCTTGTTCTGGGTGGTATTTACACAGGTAGGTCACTTTGTGATAATTCGTCAAACAGCACACTTCTAATGGAGCTCCTCAAAGGACAGAACTCCCAGCTTTCCACTGGGCACCTGTCATTCAGACTGATGACCACACTGCTCAGTTTCCTCACAGCCTGGCGTGCTGTGGCAGGTGGAAGCAATGGGTGGGACTTCTGCAAAGTGTCCTAACAGGAAGAAGGCTGGTGGCCGCAGCCAGAATCTTAGATCGTGAATGACCCTGAAAACGGGCCACACGCCGGAGGTGGAAGGAGAAAAGGAGCCCTGCTGATCATGGAGCCACCACAACCGTCCACAGCTATCTGGATTTTTATCAGAAACAGAACTCTGCCTTTTTTTGAGTCACTTTATTTTGCACTCTCCATCACATTCATCTAACCTAATCTACGTGATGCAGATTAACTGTATGTTTTACCCACGTGTTCACTACCTTGGGTGCAGCTGCAGAATCAGTACATAACCTCTTTCTCTAGGGAAGTGATTTAGCCAAGTGAGCAGGAAGAATGGGCCCCAAGAAAGTGAACTTACGAGGGAGTGGTCTGCATGCAGCCTAGCGGCTCTAAGTTGACAGATGGATGCAGCAGAGATGAGCAACAGAGCCAAGAGGCCCCTGGCCCACAGCTCCCCTTCACTCTGATCCTTCTACTACATCTCACCTGTAGGGTTTATGTTACCTGGGAACAAAAAAGTCCCAACTAACACAGTATCACCTTTCTCTCTTAAAACATGGAGGTTTTTCTATTTTATAAAGAAAGGGTATCATTACTAACCCTGCAACCCAGCCCACCAACTGTCTTCCCTTTTTCATGTCACCCCTGGCTATAGTGGAGAGGAAGTAAGGAAGTGTGGGAAAGCCAATGAAAATCAGAGAAGCAGACAGTCAGAGACAGAAATAAAGAAAATAAGAGAGGATCCCAAAAAATTTTAAAGAATAAACACAGCAGCCTAGAGGAAACGCTACTTCCCGTGGCGTGGACCCATTCCACTCAGGACACCCTAAGTAATGCTAAGACAGTCCTCTGTTAACACCAGGCCAGAAAGGAATGGAAGCGCAAAATCCCCCAATGGGAAGGACCCACATCTCAGATGGAAGCACTGTATCGGTGAGAGCATTTGAAAAGAAAAGTCCTGGGGAAAAGCCCAGAAACATCGTTCAGGCAACCTGTAGCTCCTTTCCTTTGCTGGCTTCTGAAATTTCATAAAGTTGCCCTCAATCCTACTTCCTGATGTCCCCTGCAGAGAGCTATCACTTCTACAGAATGATTCTCTTTCCTTTTACAGAGGTTCTTTTGGGGGGGGAGGGGTTGGGGAGTATGCAGGTGAAGGAATATTTTTGTCTGGTGGACAAGACAGAAACTTTCTTGAGTCAGGGTAAAATTTCCAGGCCAATCCACCAAAGTTACATGCCAGGGAATAAATCCTCTAGCAAGTAACACAGTCCCCATGACTCACTTGGGCAGTGACAGTAAGAGGACAGGAAGCAGAGAGAAGCATGAGGCCCTGAAAAAGAGGAGACATGTTGCTGACCAGCAACAGCAGGAACAGAACCGTCCTCTCCCCACCGCTCACTCTGGGCAGATGCCCCAGAGCTCAACGCTGAGAAAGCAGCCTTGCCCTCCCCTCCTCAATGTGGACAAAGTGGGCATGAGGCCAGAAGGAAAGGAGTATGGCAGCAGCACACCTATGGTAGTGGGAGAAGAGAGGAAGAAAGTAAAGCAGAGAGGAAGAATGTCCCCAGTGAAGAGGGAAAGGAGAAAGGGGCGATCCCAGTCATCAGCTCGGTCGGCTAGTCAGGAGAAGGGGCCCAGGAAGCTGAAGCAAAGATAACTAGGGTTGCCTGGCACACCAGAGACCCCAAGAGGCATGCTCATGTCTGACAGAGAAAACTTATCAACCCACTCAAAGCCACACACACTTTCCACTTTCCCTGCAGCAGAAAGGTAGGCACATGTGACTGTAGTCCAACCTCACCAAATACCCGAAAAGAGCTCTTCCAGACAGAAGAAAATCTAGTAGATATCACTTAGGAGATATTGAAAATTCAATTTTGGGTGCCCTTTTACTGTCTAGGTTTAGAAAACATTTTTATTTTACTAAAGAATTTTTCCAGGAAAAAATTTCATTTCTCCAAATTATCCAATCACATACCCATTTCCCAGTGCAAGCCAAACACCTGAAAGGACGGCCTACCTTCACCAGGACATAGTCCCCAGGCTGAGCTCTGACCCTGAGCCCAGAGTTAGTGACATCCTCCATATCCACATCAGGGAAGATCACCTTGAGGTTTCCGTCATTCCGGCCACACAGGTCAGTGGCAGAGCGTCTACTGACCTACAGAAAGAACAGAAGAGTTCACGAATCTCCAGTTATCAGTTGTTGCAGGGAAGAAATTATTTCTTCTCCATCTGGCTGGAAGCACAGGTGATAACCTGGGCTTCAGAATGAGCATTCTGAAGTCAACAGTGATTTCAGGATACTGAGGCCTTAATCTGTGCAATCTGACTGGAGACAATAACAGAAGTCAGCAGAATTCTCAGTTGCCCTGATTCTGTCCACGAACTGCTTCTAGGTATGGGGAAACCTCCACACTCATTCACCTTTACATCAGATCCAAGGAACCCAAAACACCCAGCTTCCTGGTAATCATTTAGGAATGTTCTAGAGTGTTTGGCCTGGGTTACTAGCAGTAGTGAGTAAGCACTCTCAAAGCTAGCTAATCTATCACAACATGCAGAAGTCCAGGGGTCACATCGTGAGAAGAACAGTGAGGACAGGTGGCAGGAAGAGGGAAGGGAAAAGGAAAAATGTCTGAAGATGAAAATTTTCCAAAATCTGTAAAAATTATAAATCCACAAACTAAGAAGCCTCAACAAGTCCCAAAGGAAGCAAAAGAGTTATTACAAAAAGTCATGCCAACACTCAATCAAATTTCTAAAAATACTGATCAAGCAAATAGTTTATATAAGGAAAAGGCTATTTTACATTTAGAAGAAACACAAGAACAACCATAAACTTCCTGTCAGAACTATGCAGATAAGAAGACAATGTGGTGGCCCTCCCTGGTGGCGCAGCGGGTTAAAGCGCAGCACTAAGAAACTAAAGCCACTTCCGCATGAGTTCGATCCCCGCCTGCTCCGGAGGTGACCACAATGGCGTGGCAGACCTCTCCTGACCTGCCCGCTGCTCCCCTCAGCAGTGTACTTCATCGATCTGCCTGTTCTGCTCCCCGCTCTGTCTCTGGTGAATCCTCTCACCCTCCACATCTCTGGCCTGTACCCCAGTTCTGTATGAATAAATAAATAAATCTTTAAAAAAAAAAAAAAAGAAGACAATGTGGTATCTTTAAAATATGTTACCTTAAAATGTGTAACCTAATGAAAAAGTATTTTTAGAACGTACGTGAGACCTCTCCTGTCTCTCCCATTGCTTTTCTTATTTTATTATTCTTTTTTTGTTTTTAAAGATTTATTTGCTTATGCTTACAGAACTGGGGTACAGGCCAGAGGTGTGGTGGATGAGAGTATTCACCAGAGACAGAGTGGGGAGCAGAACAGGCAGATTGACAAAATTACACTGCTGAGGGGAGCAGTGGGCAGGTCAGGAGAGGTCTGCCATGCCATGTGGGTCACCTCTGAGTTGAGGATCGAACTCGTGCTACAGTGGCTTCAGAGAACTTCCTAATGCAGTGCTTTAACCCGCTGCACCACTAGGGAAGGCCCCCATTGCTTTTCTTAACAGTGTATTTGTATAAACCCCCCTTTTATGTTCTCCAAAAAAAGTAGGTGAAAATTTTGGTGAAACAACCAAAAGCTGAGAAGATTCATCACCAAAAGACTGGCATTATAAGAAATGTTTTAAAAAGACAGAACCTTGAATATACACAAGGAATAAAGACGTAGTAAATAAGAGAGGACATATATAAAAGACTTTTTTCTCAATTTTAAAAATGTCTTTGAAAAAAATTTCCTTGAGAAATAATTGATTATTCAAAAAACCAATGTATTTTGGAATGCAGATGTAAAAATCTGAGTATACCAGCACATAAGGGAAAAGGACAGAAGTGTATTATTTTATTGGTCTTAATATTAAAACATCCCAAGTAAGGCCCTGTCTGGGAATCTGCCTTTAGAAAGTCAAGATGCAACTATGTACTGTATTCTTCAATGACCAAAGACTCAGGAAGGAGGTCAGCCCACCACTACTGCTCAGGGAAACAGCAGTCAGGTAAGATTTAAAGAGCTTCTCCACTACCGCCCTACAAATCAATGACTAGTGACAAAAGCAGGAAGAGTGACTTTAGATTCAAGAAGCCTATTAGACACCATCTTAATGCAAGTTTCAAAGTTAATAGCATCAGCAGTGAGACAAATCAAAATGCACTGTCACCTCACTGGATACAAAGAACACAACAACATTTCTCTAACGATACTGGCTAAACTTGAACCCTACCATGAGCAAACCTATCAAACTCAAATGAGCAAGACTCCACAAAATAGCTGGCCTATTATATCAAGTGTCAAGGTATGGAAGGGGAACAAAGGCTGAGTGAGGAACTATTCTAGACTGAGGGACACCAGAGAGTTGTGACAGCTGGCGCCCATGAGCGACTGAAGTGAACCCTTGTCCTAGAAAGGGCAGTTCTGAGCCAAGTGGAGAAGCGCAAATGGGCCTGGGGACTGGCGGTGGGACTCTCACAGGCTAGTTTTCTGACTCTGGTGGCTAGCGCAGCTGCAGAGGACGCCCTGTCTGCGTGGGGCACATACACGGCACTCAACAGTTTGGGGCAGCAGCTGACTTTCAAATGATCCAAAGCAAAAGAGTGCTTTACACTACTTTACACTTTATACTAAACTAACCCTAACTTTTCCATAAGTTTGCGACTGTTTTATATACTTTTTAAAAAGAGAAACTATGTTCAGGCTGAACAAACCAACTGGTAAAGAGGAGTTAAGAGACAACAGGGAAAATGAACATGCTGAAATATTTACTAACAAAAGTATGACGTCTTGTGCACCTTCAAAATAACCCAGTGGGGGCAAAAAGATAAAACAAGTTAGCCACAAGTAATACTATTATTAACAACTGCTGGAGCTGCTTCTCAGACACAGGCAATTCTCTCGTTAGGCAATTCTCTCTGTGTCTATGCATCTTTTAAATTCTCCAAATTTATAAAATAAAAAATAAGTGGGTTGGTGGGGGGAGGGTTATAAACTCTAGAACAAGCTAAACCCAGGTCAAATTCTGTCTCTACCACACGAACAGTATAACCTTCTACTTCTCTAAGTCTCCATTTTTCATCCATATAAAAGGGCCAATGAACAGCACTATCTCCAAGGGCCACGGTGGCCTCATGTGCTGCTGATCCTAAAATAAATGCACTTCCTGGCAGACTGAGTGTAAGTGAGCGATTATCATCTTCTGTTCCTCTCCGGTTATAGCGACCTGGGGCTTTACACTGGCTGTGACCATAAGAAAGACCCTCTTTTCTAAGAGAAAATAAAAATTCAAACCACTAGCTCTGAAACCCCATTTACTCATCAGCCCCAAGTGAATAATACCTTTTGTTAGATCAATAAGAACCTTGTTTTGGTTCATTTAATTACCTCAAGCTCTCTGAGTACTCATTCATTTATTCAAAAGACAAATACACTATTCTGTGCCAGATCTTGTGTGAAGAGAGCTGGGAATACAATGAAACCTAATTTCTACTGGATAAAATATAGGCTGCTAATAGACATGTACACAACAGATCTCCAGAATCCCAGCTGACACCCTCAATGACAAAACACCGAGTGAGGTAAACACCTTTTGAGTATCACTTCCTATCTGACAGACCACAGGAAGATCCCTAATCCAAGCTGAGTTGACTGGGCACCCTTCTGGACATCTGAATCGGGGCTAAAAGACACAACATAGTTTATGACTAGCTGGACTATGTTGTGTCAGACAATAACTACAGTCTATTGTCCTTTGCCACACAGATAAAGCAGCAGAAAAGGCCAGTCTGAGGAGATGACCACACCTGAGCCTCCAGGGCTTCCCAGGCCAGGCATAGTCCCTCCCAAACACCTTGAGCCACACAGGATCCCCTGCAAGCCTTATATAAAAAGGAATTCTTTAGGCTTGGGCTGCACCTTGAACAAAGTGCTCAGCGTTACTACCAGTCACAACAAACACAAGTATCAGGCAATTGGCTGCTCTGATGCTACCATATCCTGAGAAATGGAGGAATCCTCTCTAACAAGAATGTGGAGAAGCCACAGAAAGGGCCATCTCTCTCCCCCTTCCCCTCCACTAACTGCAGCACGCTGCTTCACAGAAGGTCAGCTTCCCAAACCACCCAACCATATCTGTTTAGTGCTCTAAATCATGGCTAGGTTACCAGGCTCAAGCCTACAGGGGTCCCAAACTTCCTAAAATACAGTACATTTCTAAGCAAGGCTGAGTTTTAAAAAAGACTGAAACAGTAAGACTGATTCCAAAAATATACATAGGACACTCTTGCATAAAAAGGAGACATACGTTTCCCTAATCCTTCCACTAAGTACAAAAATATCCTTCTGGAATGAAGGTGAAATTAAGACATTCTATACCAAAGGGAAAACAGAAAACCTGCTGCCAGAGTAGCTAAAGGAAGTTCTCAAAACAGAAAGGAAACAAAGGAGGAAACTTGAAACATCAAGAAGAAAACACATGGTATGGTTATCCACAGAGGACATCTCAAGGAAACTACAAAAATAAACACCTAGACCTAGTATGAGTTTAGCAAGGTCACGGGATAAAAGCTAAACATACAAAATTCAATTTATAAATAACCGTGCATACCAGAAATAAAAAATACAATAGCAATTATAATTACTCAAAATGAAAAATTAAGTACTTAAGTATGAATCTAACAAAATATGCGCAGGATCTATATGCTGCAAAAGACAAAACTTCTGATATAAGAAATCAAAGATCTAAATAAAGGAGAAACATATTGTGTCCTAAAAAGCAAAATTAAACACAAACACAAACACACACACACACATACATGGCCTCATCCCGGCCTCACCCCTTCCACCAGCACCAGCTGGGTACAACCCACAAAAGATTTGTTGGCTTTTGTTGCTTCTTCTCGGAAGACAGTGATGAGTTCCTCCAAACGCCTTAGCTTAACCTCTTCTGGGACATCATCTTTCAGTCTGTGATAAGCCCGTGTTTTCTATTTAACAAAGAAGAGAGATGGCAGTCACCATGGCTTGTAGAATCCATTCTCCAGGTCCTCAAGGAGACCACATTCATTTCACCAGCAAATCAGTGATACATAAAAGAACCCAGGAAGGTTGGCTAGTTCTGGGAGCTTTCTATGAGAAAAAGGTAACAACACAATCGAATCACATTTTGGGGTAAATTCTAAACATAGCATATGAAAATCATACACTCAAAATTGTTCCTGATATTCTTATAGGATACAAATATAACTTTTATCCTCATATAACATAAATACAGTACCAAATCATCACTCAATCTCACTGTTTACAAAGACCAAGAGGCAAAGCAGCCTAATGGCTGGCATATGTTTTGTTTGGATAGCCGTAGTCCAAAAGAGAAGCTCTGTAAGTTGAGAAATGATTCTCATTTCCTATTACAAAAAAAAAAATAGCATCCATCCATTCAAATTCTAAACAACCTAAGCAAAATTTAAAATATTCTAATGAAAAGGAAAATTGGCACAAAAAACTTATCTTTCATCCAACTGAGGACTGTAAAATGGTAGGCAGGTTAATCAGAAAAAACAACGAAGAGAACGGTAAGGTCCTGTGGTGTCTGAGGGTGCCTTGAGCCACTTCCCATACTTCCCATTCTCCACAATAAACTCCAAGCTGGTCGGGAATGATAGTAGTGGAGAAACAGCTCCTTCCCCACTGAGGGCTCACCTGTCTCATGCTGTAGGCAAAGAGGAAACCAGTGTTGTAATGAATTTCTCGAAGCAAAGACACCGTCTGGAGGTGGTCTTCCTCTGTCTCACCACAAAAGCCAGCAATGAAATCACTGCTGAGACTCACACCTGCAGCACAGGAAAAGGACAGAAGACAGCAGGTTGCTGTTGCTCCTCATCAAGAAAGGCCTCTGGCACCTGGGCTGCAGAGGGAGAGTTCTTCAGACCGTGTGCCAAAGAGACAAAGCAGTCATTACAGAATAAGAAGGGAGACGGCTGATTATCTACAATGTTCTACGCCACAGCCTGGCTTCTCAGTGTACCTTCCCTTTAACACTAGAAAAAATACTTTCCCTGCAAATGTTGGATTTAAGCACACAGTAGGAATCCACTTTTACTGGTAAAAATCTCATAGTGCCTCATGTATAGTTTTGAAATTAGTTTAACACAATATGCATTTAAGAAAGCAGTTCTATTACTGACACTAAGTGCTGTATTTTACCATGTAATTTAATGTATTTAATTATCCCAACAATCCAATGAGGTTACTACTGTTGATTGCACTATAGAGATGAGGAAAGTACAATCCAAAGAACCTGCACATGACTCTGACCCTTCAAAATGGAAGTAACTGTGTGCATAATGCAAGTTACAATAATTAGAAATTTGGGGTCTGGGGAGAGGATACAGACCGTTAACAAAACCTAAAATAAAAGACCACAGAGTAATTTTATTAGGGGGAGAAGATAAAAAAGAGTAATAAACAATTGGAAAAGCATTATCTCTACACATCTTAAAGATATCACTGATCCCCAAATCAGACTTTCTGTAGAACATAATTTTGCTACTTTATAAGGAACAAAATCTCTCCCCTATGTTCAGAAACATACAGACTACAGGAAAAGAATCTCTTTTGTTCTGAGGCTACAAGCTCATCCTCCGAGTACTTCTAAAAAGACTAAGATATGCAAAGAGTACAAGGAGAGTAAATGGGAAGTAAAGAGGATCAAAGGAAAAATAAAAGCACAAAGTACGGCAACAGTTGTTGCCTCTACCTGACCAAGGAAACGCAGTAGCAATGTGCTCAGCAGACTAAGTTTCTGACATGTACCTGGAATAGACTCTCTGATATGATGAATTAAATCCACATAAGCTTCTCTAGAATACCTACAAAAAAAAAGCTTAGATGAACCAACCTTTAAATGAATGTAAAAAGATAGCGCTGTGAAGTTCCACATGTAATCATTGCTCATCCACACTGGACAGTACAAGAGGTTAAATTACCCAAAGCCTGTAATGTACCCTAATGAAGAATCTATGACTTTTTTGTTCAAGTCCAGAATTTTTTTATTTTTAAAGACTTGAAAAATGTTTCATTTCTGTACTCAGAAATTTTAAAACAAAGACACTGATCCAGTTTTTTTTAGGTAGCAAGGTCTTTACAACCAAAAGCTTCACACACCAAAAAGACTGATATTCTATAGATCAACCTATCTCTACCCTTTAAATGTTACAAGACAGCAGCATGGGCCTCACAGAGAACTTGTGTATGGTTTAAATATTGGTCAATGTGCTCATAGTTATCACAAATTGGCAAAGTTTTTTTTTTAACTATTTAATGAGCACTTTGCAAGTCTGTGAAATTTTAAATAGCCTTTTTTTAATTTAACTAATGAAGACAGACTGATCATTTAAGAGGATCTATAAATTCTGCCAATGTGAAAAATGAGGCAAAGCTTGCCATTTATCACTTTGTCCTTTCAGATTTCTCTCTGCTCAATCATATTCTCTCTGAGATACTACTCTCAATGTAAATGAACAAAGAGCTGCATTTAAAGGCCTAAAAAACTTTAATGTTAAAAGCTAAAGGATTAAATTCAAACAATGTACCATATAGGTACTTCGCACAAAACAAGAGTGAAAGAGGTTCCAACATCCATGGGTTTACTCACATAATAAATATTTATTGAGCAGCTAATATGTACCACAAACTATGCTAGGTTCTTAGACACTGTCTGCTCCTCAAGAAAACATGAAAGGGATAGGGTGCCCCTTCCCCAAGTAGTCTGACCCCCTCCGCATTGCCTCCAACACACGGCTGCTTCCACTCTGGGCTGGCAGGTGGATCTGTTTACAGATGTTGTCTCTCTCATGAATCAGCTGCAGAACCTGATTAAATAGAACACATCACAGGTCATCAAGGTCTCACTAAAGATTCTAAAAGAAAGGAAAACCGGGCTCTCCCTGGAGGAGCAATGGGTTAAAGCATTGCATTATGGAGTCTCCGAAGCCACTGCAGCACCAGTTTGATCCCTGGCCAGGGACCTGACCCACATGGTGTGGCACACCATTTCTGACCCACCCGCTGCTCCCCTCAGCAGAGTACCTTGTCAATCTGCCTATTCTACTCTCCACTCTATCACTGGTGAATCCTCCCAACCACCACATCTCTGGCCTGTACCCTAGTTCTGTAAGCATAAGTAAATAAATCTTTAAAAAAAAAAAAAAGGAAAACCACCCCCATTGTTTCTCTACCAATGTTAATTTTTAAGCATCTACGAAACTGATTAAGCCAAATACATGAATTATCCAAAACCTCTACTTTTGCTCAAGCCACATGCTCTCTGTCCTAAACAGTTCACCTGATACCATTTCTGTTTTCAAAGACCAAAAAAAAAAGCAAGAAGTCAGATTCAAGCATGAGGCTGTCTAGGAGTAGTGCTGACACAGACAAGAAAGAAACAATGAATGGCACTGGCTTCATCTAGCTTACACACTAGATACCATCAAGAAACTGAAACAAGGAGAAAATATTTGAAAAAATATATACTGACAAATTATTTATATCAAGAATACATGAAGGGGGGGGGGAGGAGCTACAGGGAGGAGGGACCAAAAAACACACTGAACAAAAAACATCCAGAAAAGGTTTTGCATATAGCCTCGCATGCCTATATATATGGCGATAGATAGATAGATAGATAGATAGAAACAGACAGACAGACAGACAGATAGATGATAGATGGATAGATGATAGATTATAGATAGATAGATAAACAGATGGATAGATGATAGATAGATAGATAGGTAGGTAGACAGATAGATAGATATTCAGATGTCTGGTAGAGCTATCAGCCAAAAAAGGTTTCGCATGCCACATTCTTTGCTAAGTACCTTCCATACATTACATGTATTTCACAACCCAAAGCAAGAGGTGACCATAACCCCATTCCACAGATGAAAATGAAAAGGTCACACCTACTAGAGCAGCCATGGAATGGTTAGGATTGGAATTCAGGTCTGTCTGAATCTGAATCTGAGGAGTCTGGGCCTGCTTCCACTGCATCGCACTGCCCTCTCCCTGTGCACCCACACCATCTGCACAACTTTCACAGCCTCATGCATGATCTTAACCTCTCATTAACATCAGTTCTGTCTCCCCACCTTAGTTTAGTTCTTTCCTAAGGGCTGACAGATCAGAGACTATGTGACAAGACAGCACAGGAGCCTCTGAGCAAGGCTCAAGGTCTCTTGCTGCATCCCTCTGGGTCCAGGCTTTGGCATGTTTAAGATACTGCTATCAGTTTGGCACATTTAGCTCCAATACTCACCTCATCGGGAAAATCCTTGGGGTGGGGAGAGGTGAAACGGATCCTCATTTCAGGATCTACTCTAGAGACCTGATCCAGAAGGTGAGCAAAACGAAGGCCCCCTTGTTTGTTTTTATAGTTGGCAGAGAAGCCACGGCTAAGATTGGTGGATACTGCATTGTTGAACTGGACTTCTGAATCATCCCGAAAACTGTTAACATTCTGACCAAGGAGTGTTACTTCTTTTAGTCCCTGGGGAAAAAAAAAATTGAAAAAATTTAAGAACTTCTTTGGTAGCTTCATGTCAAGTCACTAATTAAATTTAGTAGAATCTACCAAGTGCCATCCATAAATGTATCTATCTCTAACCCAGTAATTTCATTCTTAGACATTGTGTCTAAAGAACTAAACTTCAAATCAAAACCTCTGATTAATCTTCAAAGCCCTTTGCTCAATAGCAAAAAACTGGATATAAACTCAATGTTCAATACTAACAATGATTAACTCATGATATAAATCAACTTACGACACCATTCTATCAGTTAAATGTTATATAGTCATCACTAAAGACCTCTCTTTACCAAAAATATGTAACCTAAATCAAACCAAGCTTTTAACTTCCAATTTACCAAAATAGGGAATTAAGTTAATGACAATATGAGGGAGCAGATAAATCCATGTTGTCTGATCTCTTCAAAAATTAGTACATCATTTAAAGCAAGCAAAAGAAAAGTGAAAGTGCTATTTTAGATTAAGAGAGACTTAAGAAAAATAACCACCAATGAAACTACATAAGTCTTGATTGGTCTGATCCAATAAACAGCAGTAAGATATTTTAGGGCAATTAACACATTTAAATATAAGTTCATATAAGATAGTACTGGTTAATATTTAAACGTCTTACACGTGACAATGGTATTATGGCTATGAAGGGGAAAATTCTTATCCTGAGACAATGCACTCTTAAATATCTAGGGTTAAGTGGCCTGAAGTCCACTACTTACTTTCAAAATGTTTCAGAAAAAACACATCTATAGCGATAGAAGATGAAGCAAATATGACAGAATGTTAATAATATTTATGTAAATTTTCAACATGTCTGGGTATTTGCACTGTAAAACTTCAGAAAGAATAATTGCTATAAACGATTTGTATATCCTTGTTTTCACAGAATTTCAAACTTAGAAAGAAAAAAACCTCAATTAAAAAAAAAACAATACAAAGAAGTCCCACATATTTTGCCAAGGTTCAGTGATTGTTAACATCAGATGCCACATGTTAATCATCCACATCACAGAACATCCTCTCTCTCCACACACACATGCAAGGATACATTTTAACACTGTAATTTGCAAATACCATGTTTATCCCAAAATATTTCAATATACGTTTCCTAAAAATAAGGACATTCTCCTACATAATCAGAGGCTAATTGTCAGAATCAGAAATACTGATAAAAATGCTATTACCCGATC